GTCGGAGTAACAGAGCAGAAGGGAAATGGCGTGCCTCGGTAGTCTTTATTGATCCATGAATATAACTACATGCTAACATTGAAAAGCAATGGCTTGTCAAGAAGAAACCTAAGTCCACCCTGCAAATACAAAGGGACATAATCATGGCCTTGGCATGGAAGTGCCATGAGTTTGGTTAGTATCTGTATGACAGAGAAGATTGCATCTAGGTATTTGCGGTAAAAAATGGCAAACATGACGGTTGACAGCCAGAGTGGTGGCAATGGCAGTCCCACAGGTCATCTCCTTCAGATGCAATGTGGATAAGTATGTCCTTTGCAAGGAGTTTCCATTTTACTCAAAATCCATCTGTGGCAGAGAGACTTGGCTTTTACGAGTAACTGAGGGTGGTTCCCATCCTTGTAGACTCTGCCCTCAGACTTTGGGGAAATACCCCACAGGGATCTCTTTATTGAAGAGCAGTGGTTCTGACCCATGTCCTCCCAACTCTTTTGTCCTGAGCAGCTGAAGGGGCCAATGTGCAAATGTGAACATCCACTTTGACTCGCTTATGTTCCAAACAGCTGCCCTTTCTTTTCTTCCTGGGAGCCACCCTGGCTCTACAAAATCAATGGCATCTTTCAAACATATAGTGCCTTGAAATCAAAAGGCTCCTCCCTCCAGAAAATCGTACTCCTTGGCAAAAGTTCTCCAGAGGCAAAATTAAAGAGCCCTTCACTCCTCTTACCAGAAGCCCCTCCCCCTGGTGTGGAGAACTGGGGAAGAGAAGAAGCTGTGCGGTATGGGCTGCATCTCATTTTGGATTCCTCAGTGAGTACTGCCATGGCCTGAATGCTTGTGTGCCCCCAAATTCATATATTGAAACCTCATCCCAATGTGATGGCACTTGGAGGTGGGGCCTTTGGAAGGAGATCAGATCATGAGGTACCTTAGTGTCCTGATAAAAGAGACTCCAGAGAGCTCCCTGGCCCCTTCCACCATGCGAGGACACCGCCGGATGTCGGCAGTCTATTGGAAGAGAGTTCTCACCAGAACCAAAGATGCTGAGACCTTGATCTCAGACTTCCGGCCTCCAAACTGTGAGAAATAGATTTCTGTCATTTATGTTACCCCATCTGTGGTACTACGTGTAGCAGCCCGAATGGACTCCGATAACACCTTTAGTGGCTATGTGTCAGTCCTTCTGGAGGCTGAGGGGAGGGGAGGGATCAGCAATTAAATGTCTTTTCCTTTTTAAGGTGTGTGGGGCTTTTAAAAAAAATCTTTATGTATCACGTGGAAACACATTCATTTCCTTTATGTAGAGACATTTATTTAACCATTAAATGTAAGGGTAACATGTGAAGAAAACATTATTCTGGCAGTCATTGTGACAGAATTCAGCACTGACAGGAGTAAATGATGCTGACTCCTGGATTTGCCTGAATGCTCGGATTTCCTAAATCCCATAAATGCATCTCAAACCCGAGACCCTGATATTGGGTTTGTCAAATATGGTCCCTGTGCTGGGATTATAGAGTTGTGATTATAGTGTCTTTAATGTAATGATATTTGGCGGGGGGCGGGGGGTGGTAGATAGCAAACACAGTAGAGCTGATACATCCAAATTAGTATTTATTCTGGAAGGCTATTTATATATTGGATGGATGCTGGCATAATACACAACTTCATTGGGACTTCTCTTTTACATTTTCCTTTGGAGACAATTGGTGAGCCACACAAGAAGACGAGCTGTGAAAAAAAAAATTAAAAGACTAGCTGTGTTACTTTATAGTCAAAATCTTGCTTTTTAACAACAACAACAAAAAGATGCTTTTCAACTTGCTTCATAGACACAGATAACAATATGGTGGTTACCAGAGGGAAAGGAATTAAGGGGGTGTAGTAGGTCAAGGTGGGTAAATGATGATGGAAGGAGACTTGACTTGGGGTGGTACAAATACAATATATAGATGATGTATTATAGAATTGCACACTTGAAACATATAATTTTATTAACTAATATTACCCCAATAAACTCAATTTAAAAAAAGACTATTTGTGGAACAAATGAATTTACTATCGTCTTTGAAAGTCCAAACAACTGAGATGCCCAGGACTCAGAACTCACAGATGATTGGCATTCTCTGAGAGCTCACAGGGAATTGGAGAAGGCCAGAAGACTAGAACTTGGTAAACATTATCCAGGATCTTTTTTTTCCCCAGTATGTCTGAGAATTTTATTTTATTTTATTTTATTTTATTTTATGTTTTGCTGGGAACATTTAAGTTCTCTCTTAGCAAACTTCCATTACAATGTAGTGTTATCAACTGTAGTCACCATGTTATGTATTAAAACCTTATACCTTATTCATCTTATAGCTGAACATTTGTACCCCTTTACCATTTGTCTCCCTAATTCCCTCATGCCCCAGTTCTTGGCAACCACTTTTCTACTCTGTTTATATGAGTTTGGCATTTAAAAAATCCACATATAAGTGATATTATACTGTATTTGTCTTTCTTTTTCTGGTTTATGTCATTTAGCATAATGCCCTTAATGTCCATCCATGCTGTCTCAATAGTAGGTTTTTCTTTTTGTGGCTGAATAATATTCCATTGGGAGAAAGTGTGTGTGTGTATGTGTGTGTGTGTGACATCTTCCTTATCCATTCATCCATTTGACAGATTGACAGGCACTTGGGTTGTATCATGTCTTGGCTATTGTAAATAATACTGCAATCAACATGGGAGTGCAGATATCACTTTGAGATAGTGATTCCATTTCCTTTGGATATATACCCAGAAGTGGGATTAGGTAATTATTTTTTTTAAAATTTTTTACAAGCTACCATACCGATTTCCATAGTGGCTATACCAATTTAAATTCCAAATATTCAAAAGGCTATTGCACAAGGTTTCCTTTTCTCTACATTCTTGCCAATGCTTGTTATCTCTTTTTTTTATGATAGCCATTCTAATAAGTGTGAGGTGATATCTCTAGTTTTGATTTGCATGCGTTTCCCTGATCCGTCCACATGGGAACACTAGCTGAGGGAGGTTTATAAATTGCAGTGAGCATTTATAAGGTAGTGAAACACTGATTGTTCAGGATGCATTGTATCTAATCTGGATATATATTTACACCAAGAATCCCTTCCTTTATCCCTTTCAAAGTTTCTTTAGAGTAGATGGCATTCCCTTGAGCAGAATGGGCTATGTTAGGTATGCTTACATATTTATTCTCCAAAAAGATGTTTTTCAACTGCCCCCACATGGAATATTCCCAGGGCTTCAAAGGGCTGCCTCACCAATTAAAAATAGTTTCACCAAATTCATTAGACATTTCCCCAAATTTACATTTTAGGCCTATTTATTGGGTGGCTGCTATGTTAGTACCATGTTTTGAAGAAGTAAATAAAGCTGGAACCCCTAAATCTCTCTCTCTCTCTCTCTCTCTCTCTCTCTCTTTCTCTCTCCACTCCCACAACCCAAAAGAGCATACTAAAATTTTAACAATAATTAGTAGCTTGTGTAATGAGATTTATATTCTTGTGTTGGTTTCATCATTATTTTAAGATCAATATTTTGACTCTCTCCTTTATAAGGGTGCAAATGCAAAAGATAAAGAAGTGACAGAAATTTTCAAATGGAGATAAAGTTTTAGCCAGAGAAGCATGTCCTAAAAGAGTTTGATTCACAGAGAGAGATGGGCATCTTAAAAAATTGATCAATTCAGTCAAATATGAAATACAATGGTAAGCTGGGAGAGTGAGATTAGAGCAAAGGTTCTCATCCCTAGCTACACATGGAAACTAACTCCGAGGCTTTCGATAAAATAGAGATGCCTCGTGTCTACCCCCACAGCATTGAATTAGCAGATGTGGGATGAGGGGTCAGCATCCAGATTTAAAAAATTATTCCCAGGTGATTCTGATCTATAGCGAAGTATTGAGGGCCACTGTTTTACAGCAATTCTGCCTGTGGGTGTTCCAGAACACAGCAATAGGAAATGCTGGTTGAACTGAATCTTGGAGGATGAATTGGAGTTTGATGTCAAAAGGTAATCTGAACAGAAGAAACAGAGGATTTACAGTCAAGAGCCAGGCCAGGACCAGGTTGATATGGGGATTTGCAAGCGTGGAGGATGTGCGTGTGAAAGAAGAGAGGGCATGGGTACCCACTCAGGGGGCAGAGAGAATGTGAGGGCTGGAGCTCATGACAGAGAGTGCTGGGCACTCAGGACCCTGTGGGCTATAAGGGGAAGATCTGGTCACAACGCCAGGTAGAGACAGAAGAGGCCACAGGCAGTGAGGGCCACAGGGCAGGATTTCAGAGTCATTTGTAAGGCGGAAGTCACCAAATTTGACAACTATACATGCTGTGTTAGCAATATCATTTCCAAGATATTTTTGAGTCTTCACTTATGTATTTTCCCCTCAAATAATAGAAAGCATTCTCTTGTATTCACATAGCCCCTGCTATTTTGCCTTTTCTCTATATGCTTAGAGACTACTGTAAAAAAAAAAAAAAAAAAGGATGCCCTGTCACTATGTAACAGAATGAGATTTACATATACATTCATTTACATATACATACATTTTGTATTCACATATACATTTTTTTCGAATGAGATATACATTCATTTATATATACATACATTTTGTATTCACATATACATTTTTTTCTGTATCAACAGTCACCTTCCCCAGAGCGCATACTGAATAAGCCTGGAAGCTGTGGGAGCCCAGGGGCGAGAGAATTCAACGAGCCCAGTCTGTGTGCCGTTGTGCTCTCTCACTTGACATTTGTGAATGTAGATATGTCTGACAAGTGTAAATAAGGGTGTCACACCTCGGAGTGGTACCCATTTCCACCTCGCCATTCCTCAGGCATGTGTTCAGCGATGAACGTGCTATTATAATCTTCCAGCATTTTCTCAGTCGGAATTTTGTAGAGTGCAGTGGTGAGTTCTGTGATTTCCAAGGCATAGACACGTGTTTGCTTCTTTCTCCTTGCAGAATTCAGCGCATTTTCAAATACCTTGAAAAGGTGCCGGAATGAGAAAAAGAAATACTCAGTGTTTAACCAGCGGACAGAAGAGGCGTCTGCCACACAATACTTCCAGGTCAGGGAAGTTGCCCCAAGTGGAATTGACTTGTTTCAACGTGTCACACACCTGTGAATACATCTGAACAGGGTGGTGGGTGGGGAGGAGACTATTGATACTGTCCTGCAGTTGTTCTGAGAGCATGGTCCCCTGAGCAGCAAGAGTAGCATCACCTGGATTGGAATCCCCACTCTGTCACTTACCAAGTTGTCAGGACTTGGGCAATTTTCTGAGCCTCAGTTTCCTTAGCCAAGGAACATAATTCATCAGATTATTGTGATGATTGAATTTGATAGTAGGATGTATGTGAAGCACTTAGAATGGTGCCTGGGAATAGAAAACTACCAAAAGATGGCAGGTATAATGAAGATATGTATTGCTTATGGATACAAATCCAAATATCTTTTGCCAACTGGCTTGCTTCATCAGGGTTACCACCATCACTGCCTTCGGCTGCACCACCACCCTCAACCAGGAGTTCTACCCAAGTTCTGTTTTTCTCTCTGGGCTGATGGGACTCATGGGGCCATCCCTTGTGACCCTGGCCCTTTCTCTTATTTCTATTATGCTCGGTCTGTGCTATCTCAGAGCCTCTGCTTTGGGAAGGACCCCTGGGCATTTACCTGGTCAAGATCTAGACCTGAAACTATTGTATGGAGTAGCAGTCAGAAGTCTGGGGTCAACTGAGAGTTCTGCTCTCACAAATAGGGCCAGTGTCGACCAGTCACTGTGTCTGTCAAAGCTGCGACTTCCCTGTGTGTTAGGCTAGGCCTGCCTTGACCAGGTGGCTGTAAGAACCAGATGCTCATGCAGGTGCTGCCTTGCGGGTTGTTTACACTCCCTCTGGCTCTCTTTTCCTTGCAGTTTTATGGCTGCATTTCCCAGCAGCAGAACATGATGCAAGATTTTGTGAGGACAGCCACTTACCACAGAGCCATCCTCCAGAACCACGTTGACTTCAGAGACAAGGTAATGCTGGCTGCAGGCCATTCATCTCTTATCAGTGGTTATAACCATGTTCAGAAGTCTTGCCAAAAGCTAGAATCAAAACTAAGCTTTGATAGAATTATCATATGACCCTAAAATTCCACTCCTAACTATATACCCCCCAAATTGAAAGCAGATATTTAATCAACTGTATGTACATGAATCTTAAGCAGCACTGCTCACAATAGCCCCAAAGTGAAAACAGTCCAAATGCTTATCAACTTATGAGTAGATAAAAAAAATGTTGTATAACCATACAATAGAGTATTTTGAATATTACTTATATTTCTATTATCCATAAAAAGGAATGTAATGCTGATACATGCATCAACATGGATGAGCCATGAAAACATGCTAAATGAAAGAAGCCAATGTCAAAAGCTCATATGATTCCTTTTATAGGAAATATCCAGAATTAGCAAATCATATAGAGAAAGCAGACTGGTGGTTCCCAGAGACTTGGGGATGAAGGAAATGGGGGTGGCTGCCAAGTGGGTACAGGGTTGCCTTATTAGGTGACGAAAATGTCTACAAACTTGATAGAGGTGATGGTTGCACAACATAGTGAATGTACCAAATACCACTGAACTGAACCCTTTAAAATGATTCATGGTTAATTTTATGTTATGTGAATTTTACCTCAGTAAAGTAATTAAGCTTTGAGTGTGGAAACTCAGGAGGCTGTATGCACTGTTTTGGTGCACGGAATAGGTTAGGAGCCTAATAGCTACCTAAGGACTAGCTCTTACTGTGTCCATTTACTTCCTTTTTTTTATGGACTCCACAAGTGCCTGTATCTATTTCCTTCACAAAATGGATCTGAATGATGAATGATTGTGAACACATCATTGTTCTCCTACCTGTGTTTGAACACAAACAAAGTGTTCAAAATACGGTACAGTTCATCTCAAAGATGAGTACTGCTCAGTGGAATCAGCAGTCATAAGACCTAGTTTCATATTTTCCCCATGGGTGATCTTAGGCAAAACACTAATTTCTCTGAGCTGCACAATCTCTTCCACGACCATAGTAATTGTAGATCTGCAGTATTAACTCCCCAAGAAGGAGGTGGTGGAACATTGAAATAATGGTCCAAATGACTCATGCTTCCCTGTGTTCACATCCACTTGCAAAGTTACGTAGCTGCTTCTTTCATCACGAAATGGTCTAATTTTTTACCCCCTATCTCTGTGCTGTCCTTGTGATGTACTTTGATCAATAGAATAACAGAGATGACACTGAGCGAGTTTCAGATCCTGGGGCTTAAAGAGCCTTGTGACTTCTGGCCTCACCTTCTTCGAACCCTGAGAACACCATACTGGGAGGAAGCCCAGTGTAGCCAAATGGAGGTGGAGAGGTCACATGGAGGAGAACTGAGGCAATCCAGGCAACAGCCAGCACCAATTGCCAGACCTATGAGTGAGGCCATTTGGGACCTCCAGGTCTAACCATACCTCCAGCTAAGTGCAGAAACATGAGTAAGTCCAGGCAAAACCAGCAGAGAAACTGCCCTGCCCTCCCATAAAGTTGGGAGAAGTAATAAATTGCTTCCAGTTTAAGCCACTACATTGTGATGTGGTTTGTTCTGCAGCAATAGCTAATTAAAGCAGAGAGATCAAGAGTGAAAAGGTTGTGATAAATAAACCTCCAGTTAGAAGTTGATTTGCCTCTGGCTTTCTTTCCTCTGCAGCTCCTTTCTGATATCAAGCCCATCAGACATTTTTTGTTGTTCTTCTCATATTTTTCAATTCCAAGTTTCTATTTGGCTCTTCTTTATGCCATTTGGTTTTTGACTGAGACTTTCTGTTTTTTCATTGATTTCAGCAGTGTTCATGATTACTAGTTGGAACTTTTTAAATAAAAGCTGCTTGAAAGTTCTTGTCAGATAATTCTAATGTCTATGTCACTGCTGTGTTAGCATCAGTTAATTATTTTTTCCCAAGGAATTGAGATTTTCCTGGTTCTTAACATGCCAAGAAATTTTGGATTGTATTATGTACATTTTCCATATCATGTTCTTAGACTCTAGGACTTGTTTAAAGCCGATGGATAATGTATTTTTGTTTTTGTATTCATTCAACCTGGTTAGGTTCAGGCTGTGAGTTCCATGCCACTAGTTGCTCTTCTGAAGGCTCTGGTTCCTATGTCAGTTCAGTTTTCAAATCCCTAGCAGTATTGTTTGGATCTGTCCCATGTGCATGTCACCCAGTGGTCAATATGGTACCCTAGTGGAGTTCTCAGTTTTAGTTTGCTAATAAAGATAAAATCCATGCATGCACAGGTTGAAGATAAAGCAAGGAATCTACACTAATAAAAGAGAAACATGGTAATTAGCGTACGACCGCTACCCTTTTCATTGGCTAATCAGTGAGTATATGCAAATTAACTGTCAGCCAAGATGGCGGCCGGCAGCCAGGCACTGAAGGGAGCACGAGGCTTGCTTGCTGCAGACTCCAACATTCCCCGCCTCACTTGCCGGCCTCTCAGC